ATGAGATACATTAGAACTTAATTTCTCTGTTGATAGAAACCTTTGATTCTTCTACATACTTTCTACTGGTCTGAGGTATACCAGTTTACAATACAGTCTCTAGAAAGCCTTAATTTTGTGGCCAAAAAAAAAAAAGTTTAAATCTGTTACTTCTAAAAAATGAATTGACTGCAATGTGTCATGACCAGTTTTTGTAGACAGAAGGTCTACGCCCTTTAAAAACAGACTTTGTTTTATTAATTTGTGTTTCCTTCTTGAGAAGGCTCGCTGCTGACTTAACAAGCTAAAAAAAGAAGACGGCTCACAGGATATCTCCATTCAGGTCTAGCTCCATCCAGCTTCTGCCAGACCCAGTGTATTGGAAGCTGATTCAATTACTCTGCTCTTCGGTTTTGTATTTGTAAAAACAATGATGGAGTACAGTGTCACAGGTCATTTCTGGTTAAACATCCCATCCCTCTTGCAGGCATTTAGCTCAAAATCCATTTGTGTGCGACTGCCATTTGAAGTGGCTGGCTGATTACCTGCAGGATAATCCAATAGAAACCAGCGGAGCTCGATGCAGCAGTCCGCGTCGTCTTGCCAACAAACGAATCAGCCAGATCAAGAGCAAGAAGTTCCGTTGCTCAGGTAATTCATTTATCCAGGCTGTGCTGCACTTTTAGTTCAGAAATAAGCAGGTCCAGAGAGTCTGCTAATCCAATCTGTGGGACAGTGTTTGGTATAATGGATATTATGTAGCATCTTTCTAAAATTAAATTTTAGAAATTGGATTAGTCCTTCAGAAAATCTATTTACCTTATGCATTAAAAGAGAGAGAAACCTCTAGCTTTCCTTTTGGTTTATTTGGCTATTTGGTTAAAAACTAGGCTTCTGTTTTAAAAGAATGCAGCCTTGTACACTGCCTTCAAAGAAAGGTGATACAAATGATCCCAGGTATCCATTAAAAAAAAAAAAAGTGAAATCATTCAGATATGTTTTGATCAAATTCAGAGACATTTGCTTACTTCTTCTTCTTTTAATCTTGCTGTCCAAATGAAAGCTTTGTCAGGGATGCTATTCTGCCAATCACTCAAAGGGTGACTTTGGAACAAGAATCAATATAACTCTTTGGAGAGCAGAGGAGTTTATTGCAATAGTGTATGTTTAAAAAAGATAGGATGGGAACCCACAACTTCCATAGTATAATAAAAATAAAACCCAACAACAACAAATTAAAATATGGCAAAAAAAAATTAAATTATGATTTCAAAAGAAGAAAACTTTTGAAATTTTAAAACTTTTAAAAGCAGATTAAAGGTAGGGTGATAGCCCACTTGAGTTTCGATAACACCTCTGGTTTTTTACTTTTGATCTGCAGAAGTAAAATGGGTAGAGCTTATACGGATTTAGTGGACTACAACCCTTGCAGACCTAGGTTCATAAACTGTTAAATGTGTAGGAAGGCAGTGTTATTAAAAAATACTTCCATCAGTTGCCTGATAATCCCATTCCATGCTATGATAAATTTGAATAAAGTATCTGCAGTAAAAATAGCATGATCAGCCATAACTTTAATCTATTAGTTCTAATACTGCAAAAGTAGCTGAATCAGATGATACTTTCTCTGTAGAGAAAAACACACACGCACACACATATGCACAAAGGGCTTAAAATTTTATGGGTTTGATCCATTGGAGTCATTCCACTAGAAGTTGACAGTAAAGCAGATTTTTAAAATTGTTGGCAACCCTGCTCCCCCACCAATCTGCTGTAAAGAGTTGAGGGATTCTTCAAAGTAGATGTGGGAGGATGTGAAAGAAATACAAGGGGAGGGAAGCAAAGAAATTTTATTGTGTGACAAGAAGTGTATCTCCATAATATTATGTGTGGTGTGATGATTTTATATGGACTCAAACTGTTAATCATATCCAGAGTCCTACAGCTGAAGTATTTCTTTATCCAACCTTGCCTCCTTATAAATTTTGGCTTGTTCATATTCTAAGGTCCAATCAGATATGTGATTTATAATTTTAGTGGTGATACAATATGTTACTTATTTCAAGCAAGCTTAAAATATAGACAGCATTTTAGATGATGGAAATTCATTAATGGGACTGTAGAAAAAAATATACTATTGTTGATGGAGTATCTTGATATACTTGAATATAAAAATGAATACAGTTGCTTTTTTTCATTCTAAAAAAAGGGACTATGATGTATTGCTTTCCTGACAACCAAATTTCCTGACACAATTGTCACTATGCAAAAGAACATTACTTGTGTGCTACCTCTCCTCAATAATTCATAAATTGCCCTTTATCAATATATTATAAGTCAGGAAATTAGAATTGTGGTTGCAGTGTTCATGTGGGATTGTTTCTAGTGGTGATCTGTTCATGAAAAGATCTTTGATCCAACTGAGGATCACTGTACATCCCTCCCATGAGCTGAGAAGAAACATGCATGGAATTATGTTCTGAGTTCTGCCATTTAATAGGATTCTTCTCAGCATTATGAGAGTGAACTTTATAGTATGCAGGAATAAAGAATAATATTTTTTTTCTGTGGCTTTGTTTATATGTTCATTGTATCAATTCAGGGTTATGTATCTGTATAGAACTCTAGGCTAAACTTAACAGGTCTAAGTCAGTTCTTAAATATATATGGAAAGAGTTGTGGACCTGAGAAACTGCTGCACTCACAAAAATATAAATAAAATAAAAAAATAAGATAAAAAAATAAAATAAAATAAAATAAAAAAATAAAATAAAATAAAATAAAATAAAATAAAATAAAATAAAATAAAATAAAATAA